CTAAACTGCAGACTAAGGAATCTCCAGTGGAAAAAAAGCAAAAGAAATTGTGAGGAACATCTCCTGGCAGCCTCACTGTACGAGTTCCCCGACTGCTCGTTTCGTGACAATAAAGCGATATCCTGCAGTCCCTGGCTTACTAATGGTTCTTCGCCTCACCTAACGCTGTTACTATCTCACAGTGTGAAAAAACAAAAAACGCGATGTAAAAACTGCACTTGTGAGAGAAAGTGCCATTGAGTTTCGGTGGGCGGGACAACTAGTCAGGCGTCAGATCTGCCACTTTTTAGAGCCAAACCCTACTTGCTGTAAAGCCGCGAAAGTGGGATAATCCTGAGGTCGCGGACCAGAGTACTTGAACAAGGAAGGAGGCCTATGAACTAGTTGAGCGCGGGGACTGTCTTTGAGAGCAACGGAACTGTCTCCAGAAAGCGGAGCGAGAACTTGCAATGGCACTTATCTCTACAGACATACCTTAATAACGGTGTTTGAGTCGTTGATAGTGTAAAAAGTCGCAAACATGTCGTCTCCATTCATCAGAGAAAACAAAGCTTCAGATGACTCTCCTACGGTTCGGAACTGCAACAAACGCAGATTATTCATCGGGAAACAATTTTGTATTGAACAATACAAGCAAACGGAATGGAATACAAGGGTGTTCTCTATCAAAAGGAGAAAATAGTATTGGGAAGTTTCATGAAGCAAAAGCGTTATGATCCGATTGTGAAAAAACAAAAACTGCTTTCTCCAAATGAAACCGTTCAGAATTGCATATAAGTATGCCAAATGCCTTTGAGTAAATTGCAAGCTAGAAGAATAAGCGAATTAAAAACTTAGGGGGCAGGCGCAAAGAATAGATTTCTCGTGTGGCTTTCCTTCATTAGCATAGGAAATTTGGTTTCAAGACAACTGGTGCCAGAAAATGCTGCCAACTACTCTCGAATTTAATTGAGTTTGAGATCAGGAGCATAAGGAGTTTTCTGAGCTTCATTATTGCGATTATTCGTTTGAGTCTGGTGCTTTCGTGCCATTACTGTTTTGCAGCAGTGGCACGCCACCGCTTGTGATAAATCACAAACGGGGGGGCGGGGGGGTCGTATTTGAGCGCGATGGAGGGAGGGGTCGTATTTGGTCCGAGAAATTTTTTGTTAGTTGATTTCTCTTGTTACACGGACGCTATGAGGGGGGGGTCCGTTTGCTTTGAGAGAAATTTGCGCGCTAGAAAGAAAAACAAAATTTTTTCGCGATTGTTGACTTTTTGGGTATCCCTTTTCAGCGTAGTGTTATCCCCCCCCCCCCCGCTCGCAGCGAAAATGTTGGGAGGAAAACCTAGAAATTTTCGAAATGCCGTCCGGAAAAACTGGTTAACAGGCCTGTAAGCGTAGGTAGCGATGGGAACGGTTTGAGGCGTATGCAGAGGAGCGAAATGAGGGGGCCCATTTAGGCCAGGAATTTATTCAGAATGGCGATGAAGTGCCCTGGCTTGCAATCTGGCTTAACTCGTGAGGCAAGACGCATCTACATATGGATCCCCCAGCGAGGAAAAGAGCAGGGAGGTGGTCGTATTTGGTCGCTGGAGAGAGGGAAAAATCGTACTTGCCTCTGAGAAAAATATTTTCGGTCGCGGCCTCCCTTCACAGTTTTTTTTTCTGGAGAGGAGGGGGAGAGAGGCAGGGTGAGGAGGAACTTCTAAAAACCTGGACACCGTGAAACAGTGTATCTGGGAGAATTCAGGACAAATTCAGGAATATGTTAGGAAGATGACATAAAGGGTGGAGGGAGGGAGGACGGGGAAGGCGTTGCACCAGAGGAGGAAATTCTTAAGGGGAACGTCTTTTGCGATTTTTTTTCTCAATGGCAGGACGTGTCCTACAGGTATCATTTCCTCAATAGCAGGATGTGTCCTCTTGGTAACATTTAAGCTCGCGTCAAAAAGTCAATTGCGGAGTTTCAAGAAAATTTCATTTCACGTTAGGTCTAGGGACCATTCAGAGACCAAAGGTTTAAGGTTTAATTTTAGAAGGTATGAACATCAATAAGTACATTCGTATAAAAATAAAAAAGACGTTTTGTTGACGTTTTCCAAGTATTTTTGTTCACAGTACAGCATACTCACCTTCATGCTATAGGGTCCAATAATGACCCAACCAGCAATCAAGAATCCGACGTATAAAACAACAGCACAGGACATGAACCGTGCCATGCTCGGAATGGATTTCTTCAAAGTGAGGATGAGGATCTGAAGATGATTAGTCGAGCAAACTCTTAAACTAAATCAAGGTAATCCTCACATGCTGAGAGGATTCTGAGACTGTGCCTCTGTGCCGTTAGGAAATGCAGAAACTTACGTTATATTGGTTAAAGAACCCAAAGTAACGAAGCACACCAACGTAGACCAGAAGTGCGCCCATGCCCAGTAAAATTCCCGTAAGTGTGAAAATTGAGTTGTCAAAATCCTAAAATAAGTATCGGGGTAAGGCATTCATTGAAGTAATTATTTTGATGAGAATTTTTTCAAGTTGATGGAATTGGAGCGACAGGAAGGGCGGGAGAAGGGGGAAGAGCCGAGCGACGATGCAACTAAATCAGGGACAACTTGAACTGAACCCCTTTGACGGCCTTAATTTTCTGTTTTTCTCTGCGCTCTCTCACCTGCAGCGCTCTGTGACCTTGCACATTCGAACCCCTTTGAAAGAAATTCGGGGCGTTTTTTTTGCTCCTTCCGATGCCTTGGCATCCGCAATATTCTACTTCACTGCCCTCTGGCCTTTCGCGCCAGAACCCCCTCACAGCTTCTAGTTATCTTGCAACCTATATATGTTCGTCTGCGCACTCCTACAAAATTTCTGACCCTCTTCTCCAACAGACTCAGCATGCAGTAGCGACAGACGACCAAAGTAGGCGCGACCTTGCCTAGCCGCGTTCCCTCCCCTCCCCGACCTCAGCAGCCCACAAAATTCAACAAAAGTACCATAAATTTTTTACTCACACGGAACTCTATGGAAATTTTACTCAACGTTCCAACAATGATAAGAACGTCGTTGATGACAATCATCACATACCTGAAAGCAATAACTTTTAACAATATTCAATAACAAAAAAAAATGCAACGACTGGGTAAGAAGGGGCTGAAAAACTGCAACAATCACAACCTCGAAATTTCCCAAAATGCTGGAACTTTGCCTGAATTATAATACTTTGAGGTATCTTAAAGCCTTGATCGCGTAGGTGACAGTTATTCATTTGAAAACAGCGCCGCGATACTGCATTGGTTTCAGCGCCAGAGCCGGAGTAAGTGTCACATTAGCAGGGCGCAGTTTGTCGACGGGGGGGGGGAGGCATTTTGCTTTCCATAGATGTGTCGACCCATCTAGGTAGCCGTTTCTCGAGTTGACACGTTTTAGGATAGTGGCTAGACGATCTTACTTCAGCTTCACAAGAGTTCACAAGCAGGGGAAGCAATGATTACAAAATGCCCCCGTCGACAAACAGCGCCCATTAGCAGTCATGATACTGAATAACTAATAAATAATAATGATAAAAATAAATAATTAAACAAATAACGCATGACTCCCTGCAGAAAAAAGGTATCAAGAGGTTGTAATAGTCGGCTGAATAATAAGAAAAAAGTACCAAAGATTGAGGAAGTCCAGCTGATCAGAAATTGACATTTTTATTTTGAACATATTCTCAAAATAATCCATTGCTTTCTGAAAGTGCCTTTTCTTGCTTCCGCTATCGAATGCAGAAAAAATCGAACCAACTCACGTTTTTCAACAAATGAGCTTTCACTAAGGCCCTGAAGCACAGGATAAGCGAAAATATACACAACAGCAAAACAATTACATCTGTGATGCCCATAATCAACGTATCAAGGTTCGTTCCAACTCCTGAAAAAAGAAAACGATTCCAAATCAGGAGAATCTTGGGTTATAGCCAATCTGATCGTCTTGGCCAGTGGGCCTCGGAGGATTGCTGTGTTAATTTTGATTCGGTGGTGCGAGACCGACTCAGAAGTAAGAGAGCAGTCCTTCGAGACTGCGCGAGAGGAGAAAGTCGTTCATTGTAGCCCCTCATTAAGCCGTTCCTCCCCGACCCCCCCCCTCTCCTTTCCCGTCCCCCATCTTCACGCTTATGTGAGCATGGAAGGAGCGAACCGATCCCTCTCATAATCAGCATGAGCTAGGACCTCAAAAAATAGCAAAAAAAGCTTTGTTAAAGTGTTACCCTTTTCAAGATCTAGGTCGGATTTTGAGCGGGGTTTTCCTCTAAAAAAATCTGCGTACATCTGGATCCCCCGGGGAAAGTTGACCTCCTAAGCACGATTATTACATCCTATTTATTATTACAGCGAAAACGATTTGCCCGCGAAGAAGGCTAGCTCTAGTGGCTTTGGCTACTGTGCTCATAACGCATGTACCGAGATAAATGGGCGTG